AGTCACTATTCAAGGTATCTACAGTTCTAGCGTTACTAGGATTGCAATGCAATTCGCTGCGGCTAGCGAGTCTAATAGCATGCGATTCTACAACTACCTGACTATTTAAACGTATAACTACCAACGACAATGGTGCCCATCCCTCCATATTTGGACGGATCCAACTGGTATTAATCAATAAAAGTTCTTTAATAATAATCTCACAATTTTCTTTTATTGGTCCATCTGAATCAAGATATTTATTGTATCGTCAATAAATTAATACGTGAAGATATAGATATTGTTTATCAATGTTCGTCTTTCATCACTAAAATTCAGTTTTTTGATGATAATTATTATCATGTTTATGCTATAATGCGAAGGAAAGCGTGCAACTTGAAAATGGCTTTTTGATGTATAAATAAATAAAACTTGACAAATCCCAAGAACTGTTTCAATGATTAAAACATCGCGACAAAATTACTCGATAGAATGCCATTTCGAGATAGAACTCCGTCGTTCCCAGTTGCTAATAGAGGTAAACTCAAGAGTATGGAAAACTGATCAGTAATCACCTGATCGCAATTTAATAGGACTTATTAAGGTACCTTGAAACTAATAACGAATATATGAATGATTAACCAAGCACTAATAGAAAGCTCATATTGTTGCTTGCACGATAAAACCTGTCGTTATATCCCTTTATCATTTAATCCTTAAATTAATACAAATTAATTAATAACAAAAATTACTCTAAATTCCACACACGCAATTCTGTTCATATCGTTGACCTTGAAGGGAAAACAAGGTCATAATATTTTTATTATAACAAAATGAAACGGATAAGCATTCATCATGATCATATGATCATAGGATTGTTAATCCTAACACTGGTCGGACACGCATCTTCGCTCTTTCCTATTCTGAGCTAATCTTCGCATTTCCCTAAGCTGGAACACCTCAAATCCGTAACTATTTGTGAACATCAATCTAATCTAGATCTACCTCTACTCCTTTTTGCGCCTGTTTCAATTTCTAATACTAAGTAGCTCTTCATGCCTAGGAAGGTTTCCTACCAACCTATCTTGCCCATTTCTTATTGACTTCCATAGCGCTCTCTGTTCTCTTACTCTTTCTAAAACCTGCTCATTTCGAAAACTTCTAACCTTTTCTTTTCCGCCGTGCCCACCGTCCATGTTTCGCATTCGAATTTTTCCGAGTAGATATGTATTCAGTTTCCCCCAAAAATCAGTCTCCCAAAACGTACAGTTACATTATAATCAAATTTTTGAACTAGGAATTTACGGTTTTCAGATTTTTCCTTTTACTTGTGTGTAACATTGCTTCTTACCAAATTTCATGATTCTAGGTCAACAGAAAGAATCCTTTTGACTTAGAAATTTGATTTTTTTACATCTCTTGCAAATCTGAGTATCTATATTATATATAAAAATGAAAGTTTGTCTGTATTTCCTTTAGAGAATCGTAAACTATGCATTTGATCATGTGATGTGCTTTTCTTTAGCAAAGTTGTTGTTGCAAATAAATATCGGATTGAAACGAAACCCTGTAATGTCACAATTTTTTCGAAATGAACAAAATCAATAAAATGACTCAAAATGAATTGAATATTTGTGTAACGTCTTTCCTTCAAATTTATTTTAGTTGGTGGCGTAACAATGCGCACAGGGTACAGCTAGTTTCATATAAATTTCAACTTGATACCTTAAAAAATATTAACTGAAAGTTCAAATCAAAAATTATAAAACAGAACTAGATGTATATTTTGTACAATACCTAGTTCTAAGTCTTCAGATCTAACGAAATCGTAACCTTAAAACTTTTGAAAAGTGGTAGAACCGACTGTTGCGAAGAGTGATTTAACTGGTATAAATGTATGTATGTCGACAGCAAGCAACGTTTCCGAGAGCGAGAGAAGAGAAGGGACGAGAGAATCGGCGGCGCCTTTCATGTTGCTTTGTCCGCGACCAAGGTGCACTTGGCGGCCCCTTTAGCACCAGCGATGATTTCAAATCGCGGCGCTATTACCGCCGCCTTCAGAAAGAACGTTTCTGAATGACCTGGTCCAAGCCTGGCGGCCACTTTTAATTTCAACTGAACTCGCAATAAAGACGACGCGACGTATAATACGAATTATAGGTGCCTACCTACATTATGATTAAGACAAAAGTTTCATTAAAAATTTTCGATTGTGAGATATCGTATAACCTTCTAAATAACTTTTTTTAACGCTTTACAACATGTCAAGATTATACAGGATGTTCCAAACATATGGAGTGTAAGTACGTTGGTACCTATTACCTACTTTTTTCAAGAAATATTTTAAAAAGAATGCTTCAGATAATGATTTTTAAGTTATTTTAGGTATTTGCCATACAATCTTATATTTACTATCGGTTCTGCGGCATGCACCTTTGATGTTTCAAATGTAACATTACGACTTTTCGTTTACTTTTAAATTTAGGTCATGATTGCACTCCTGAAAACAAGGGTTGGAACGGATATCCGCATCCGCAACTGCGGATGATCTGCAGGAATTTTAATATCCACAGCCTCGTCCGCATCCGCAAAGATAAATTGTTTGAAATCCACATCCTCATCCAGATCCGCACATCCTGATGAGAATACTGAGCAGATATTTGTTGTACTAAAATGATACAAACAGTATCCAATTTTAAAGTGTCTCAGATATTTGAAAATGAATTGAGTTCTCAAAATGTATGAAAATGAAAGGACTAAATAATACTAACAATTCTACTAAGTAACGATAAAACGAAATATCCATATACTCATCCGCATCCGCTAAAGCACATACATAACAATTGTACTGAAAATCCTCTACTTCGGATTAGCTTAGAAGTTTGTCTATATAGTTTTTCGCTTAGTACGAATGTGACCATGAAAGTGCTTGCAAGAGTCCACAACTACCCAGGCAATCTTGAAATGAAATCATGATAAAAACATTAAAAATTGTTACCCCAGTTAACAAAAAAATAATTATTGAACGCTATTTCTTATGATTTTGAACACAATTGCTTCAATTTGGTTCCTTAGCATCATCAAGTTACGATTACACCAACGAAGTGTTACCGTGGTCTTGTCCTTCCAAGGCAATTTGAGATACCAAATGCTATTGTAACCTTCGAATTGCAAAATATGTTCGGAAGTACGATTTTGATTATAATAACTTCCCTATGACTAGGGTTGCCATCCGTCCGGGTTTCCCCGGATTTGTCCTCGTTTAGAGGGCATCCGGGGAGCGTCCGGGGGGGGGGGCTTCATTTGTAGTCCTGGTTTAAAAATTTAAAGTCTTGGGCCGCCCGCGACACACGTAAAAAAAATCTAACTGATTATTAAAACAATTTGTAACAAACTGTAATAAGATTCTGTTTTGTTAGGTACCTTGAAAATGATGATAAAGAATGACTAAATTTAATTTTAAGGTTCGAAAATAAATAAAATGGTGACTTATGACATTTTCAACTGTTTTTGGTTACACTGATTATGTTTAAAAAAACTTGTTGACATGTCCCGGTTCTGGACTCTAAAATCCGAGGTTTTCATGCGTCTTGTCCTGGTTTCCAAATTTTAGAGATGGCAACCCTACCTATGACAGAAGAAGAACAAGAAACCTCAACGTTCCATCTGAAAATCTTCTTAAACTTTTTGTGTTCTTTATTTACCGTTAATAAATTACTAAGTACGTGTTTCTTTTAGACGTAGTACTTAAAACAGCAAAAGATATTCAAATTGGCAGATAATTGTGTACCGTCTCTACCTCTGTACATACCTACATCAACAAGTTTTTGTGGCAAACCATAGCTTTTTTAAGGAAAAGGAAATAAATGATCAACAATGTGGCAAAGGATTAACGAAAACGAGGGGAAATTTCGTATAAGAAAACGACGTTCAAATATATCCTTTGAAGTCATTTTAAAATCGTCGTTTCCTTTTTCGACGGTTAAAGGTGTACCGCAACAAATTAAATAAACTTGCAGAATTGAGAGTGGAGATTCGAGAGTTGTTTCATGCGCCAAGATCAAAGGTACGCGGCCCCTTTTGCAGTCCAAAGGTTCGGAAACACACGCGAAGTGTGCTTTGAAGTCGGAAAGTTGCCGTTGTTGATTCTTTATTTTTCGGTATGCGTCAGACCCTTTATTAAGTTGATACGTGGCTCGTACATTTGCATACGAACGTACTGTGAATATACAGTCAAGTCCTCTTCAACTTTTAGCAGAAATGCCACTTTTGCATTGAATAAAAAATGAATATTGAGTAGATACTTAATAGAAACTGTAGCAGATTTTAGGGCTTGCAAAGCCCAAAACGAATTCTAACTACATTTACTGGTAAAATATGCAGGTAAGGCAAAACGTTCACCGGACACAAAAAATACACATTTCCCTGTCGGCATTTTTTCTTTTCCTGTAAAAAAGGAAAAATGGAAAACGGAAATAATATAGTGAACATGTGGAATGTATCTTTTCAACTACTTCTATCTGATGAAAATATCTCCTGCCTTCCCAAAAAATGTCTTTGAATGCTCAAAATCTTTTGGACAGACCCCTGAAATGCTTTAAAGGTGTACGTCTGCCCTGTACGGGTACAAAACGTAGGCGGTGGACGCGGCGGAAAAGAAAAGGTTAGAAGCGTTTGACATGTACTGTAGTACAGGAGAATGATGAGGATACCGTGTATAAACAAAATTAGAAATGAAGAGGTATTAGAAAGAATAGGGGAACAGAGGACTCTATGGAAGTGAATAAGAAATAGGCGAGATAGGTTGGTTGAACGCCTCCTCAGGCATGAAGGGCTATCATCATCATAAGGTCGTCAGTCCTGAGATAGGTTGGACACGCACCTCCACTCTTTCCTATCCTGAGCTAATTTTCGCATTTACCTAAAACTAGAACATTCCACATCCTTAACTATTTGCGAACAGTGATCTAATCTAGGTCTACCTCTACCCCTCCTAACTGAAGAGCTACTCGGGAGACATATTAGAAACAGAAACAGAAAAAACTTAAGAAAAGAAGAAGTACACTTAGACTAGATTACTGTGTAAAAACAGAAGGATGTGGATGTTCTAGCTTTGGAGAAATGCGAAGATTAATTTAGGATTCGAAAGAGTGAAGGTGCATGTCCAACCACATTGACGAACCTATGCTGATGATAACAAACAAATGGGAAATTCCTGTAGGACAAACAATGCTGTAAATAAAACTGGTAGGTATTAAGATAATATTTCTGAGTTGTCTATTACTTACAATGACACAGATGGTGATTGGTTTCTAAAAACTTTACAGTCGCATAATAAAGAAATCTTAATTAACAGAATAGGTATGTAATAGAGCCTGTTATGATACAGTTTGCATTGATCTAAGCCAGTTCCTGATATTTGTCTTAGACTATGTTTTTCTACAGGGTTTTGGTAGGAGATTGTTACTAATTCATAAAGATTCCATTGGTTCTTTTCTGCCATGATCGGAATTTTAATTTGCATAAAAAGTTTGGTTTGGGTAAATGAATAGTCAGTAATTGGAAGTTCGAAATACTTAGAAACTTCGGTAACATGAATGGTCAGTTCCTGTTCTGAATTCCTTAATTGCCTTTCCAACTTTTCTAGGTCATGTTTTAATATTTCTGAGCGAATGGGGGGTTTTATGGTATTTACGTGGTGTTATAATGTTATGTCTCCTTACTGCTCTAGTTAAAAGTATAATCTTTTTTAAATTTTGATATTCGTTGTATAATGAAATCATCCATCATCATTCGTCTTCTGGAATCAGGCTGTCATATTTTCTGAGAATTTCCGAATTTTCGTTGATATGTTTGACCGATGATGAAAGTCCTTTCGTAAGCGATAGGAGTTGCTGTCTTAGTTGCTTCTAGTTTTTTGTTACCATTTTAAGTTTTTCGTGTGTTATAAGCCCGCAACACCAAGAAAACCCTTCATCAACAAAGAGGGTTACCTGCTACTTTGAGGCAGTATCCATTTCTGTTTATGGAACTGTGTTTTTTACTTGTTTCTTACAATATCTTAAACCCCTTTTCCAGAAGTATCCTTTCGTAGTTTGCATTTACACTAAGCCATACTACGACAAAGACGAGCATACAGCATACATATAAAAGAATTATTATTGAATGTATAACCATTTCCTTATGACTTCAATAAACAAGCAAAATAACCTTGAACATTTAAATATTATTTGAAAAATAAGTCACTCTTGTGAGGTGGTGAAAATTTTCATCTGATTTTTGATATTTAGCGTTTATGATGCTCCATTGCTAATTTTTAGCAGTTTCACTAGACAAATGTACCTCGTACAATTAGTGATTTACTTACTATTTCTTGTGCAACATTAATTTCTTGAATCTTAATCATTTTCATAGTTTTCGGCTAATGATAGTGAATTATAGTACAATTTAAAAATATCGTGATTACACAATTTATGTAATACCTAATTCACTCATTACAACATGAACTTGTCTAGTTCAATTCATCGATTTCATACCCGGATTTAAATTGGAAAAAATGAATTTCACTAATGACGTGTCACTTATGTGAGACCATTACATTTTAAAAACTTATTTGTACGCTTATGCTAAAAATTCCAATGTAAATAGGAATAATAAAAATTCTGCTTCTACAATAATTAAAACTTTATTACTGAGATAGTTATCTTATGTTAAGAAATTAATTTGAAATTGTACAAAAATTACACCAGGAATTTTAGAAACCTGTTTGTTAATTCGATAATTGTTAAATGTTGGATGGATATTACTAAATAAGTATGCCCTGATACACTAATTAACGAAAATGTGATACCTATTCTGGCAGTGTATAATGAAAGGCAGCATTAGCATTTTATCGTCTAATGGTTTTTATGATATGACACCTGACCCATAATATTTTTACGTAACTTTTTCTGTTTTCTTTTTCTCAGATTGCACCTTTCGACTACGAGATGATACTACCTATGTCCGTTGGCCAGAAGGTTCTGGAAGCTTCTGGAGTGGAGACTTTAGAAAAATACATAGGTACAGGAGCGGTGGAAGGTAATTGGGGGTAGGAATTGTAATACTCAAGAAAGCAGAACAGAGTGTAGAAAGTTATTTACAAAAAAAAGCGATACGATAGTTATGGTCTAATTAAATGAATTAAAAAAATCAGTAAAAACGGTAACAGAAAGAAATGGAAAGAAACATACGAGATAGGTTGGTTGGACACCTTCTCAGCCATGAAGGGCTAGACAGAGACATATTAGAAGCAGAAGCAGGAGTTAAGAGGAGCAGAGGTAGACCTAGATTAGATTACTGTTCACAAATAGTTAAGGATGTGGGATATTCTAGATTTAGGTAAATGCGAAGATTAGGCCAGGATAGAAACGAATAGAGGTGAGTGTGCAACCAGTCTTAGGACTGACGACCGTATGATGATGATGAGGATGAACACCATGCAACCTCTTTTGATTGCCAACGCTTAAAAGGACCACGAAAGGGAGAGGTGCATCAATCATTAATAAGATCAAAGCAGAATCCTTGAAGCAGCTAAAAAGTCATACCCAAAACTGAGTTCCAGAAGTGCTTCCAAGTTCTAAGACTGGAAAAGGCAATGACATTGGAAAGGGGCAAAACTGATGCTGATGAATAAATAAAGTTTCTTTTAACAAAAACAGCAATTCCCGTTATTTCTTCATCAAACCTAGTACCTAGTTTAAAAGTGGAATGATATTACTTGATTTTCGTTTAATATTAGTTTGCTAAATATGTTATTTTTTCTTGTGCAATCCCTAAATTGAAAATTAAAAGTGTTGTAGCCTGTTAAGTGGGTACGAGTGCATGCATCAAAGGATTTTCCGATGCCGAACGTGCGTATAAAGGATTTTCATAGCGCGGGAAGCAACAGGTTGGCGAGATGCTGTTGCAGACAGAACAGACGAAGTGGCCGTTACTTCTATTTTAAAATCACCAACAAACTTTTATAGCACTTATTATTTTTTCAAAATACGTAGAATAACATTAATGAAAACCACCACCCACACTAATTTTATACATATGTCATTACCCAACTGGGAACTGGGTTATTAGTGATGATGAAGTACAGAGGAATTCGTTTATTATGACTCCGCCTATATTGGCCAACCGCTTAATATGAAGTTATTGCAGTGTTAAGTTTGATTTTCATATTAAATTCTCTACAGGAAAGTTTGGATATAATGACTCCATTTAGAATGACACATCGTTTATTATGACTGATTCTCAAGAAATTATATCCAGCTATAGTGACCCAAATGATTAATAATATTTTCGCTCATTTTTCTTATGTGTATTGATATTACAATTCATCCTTTTTTCTTTTTTCTGTTAAATATATACAAATTGTAGTTTTTCTGTCTGTTAAACTAAATAACTAAAATAAAAAGTTGCTAATTTTTAAGACTGCTTTGTATGACACCCGCTTATATGACGTGTTT